GCCATAAAACACACTGCGCCTTTTGCCTTGCTCTCCTGAATTACTTACATTGTGGGAATCCAGCTGCCATATCATGAGGATACTCAAGCAGCCTTATGGAAAGATCCCTGTGGTGAGAAACAGGCTTCTTGCCAACAGTTAGCACTCAGCTGCCTACCATGGTAGGAAGAAGAATCTCCAGCCCTAATCAAGATTTCAGGCCAGGCATGGTGGCTCACACCTGTAATCCCAGCATTGTGGGAGGACAAGGCAGGGGGATTGCTTGAGCCTAGGAGTTCAGGAACAGCCTGGGCAACATAGGAAGACCCTGTCTTTACAAAAAAAATTAAAAATTAGCCAGGCATGGTGGCACATGCCCATGGTCCCAGCTACTCAGGAGGCTGAGGTGGGAGGATCACTTGAGCCCAGGAGATCGAGGCTGCAGTGAGCTGTGATTGTGCCACTGCACTCTAGCCTGGGTGACAGAGTAAGACCCTGTCTCAAAAAAAAAAAAGACTTCAGATGACTGTTTACATGGTCATCTTCTTAATCGCAGCTTCATGAGACCAGAACAACCTAGCTAAGCTTGCTCTTGAATTGCTGAAAAGATATAAAATGATAAATGTTTGTTCTTTAAAAAAAAAAAAAAAATCAAGAGAGTACTAGAAGATGAGGATGGACAGATCATAGAGTGCATTCAGGCTTAGATTTTTATCCAGCCAACTAGGAGTGTTTTCCTTGTACTCCACAATGATCCCTAAATGAAATCAGATGGGGAGGAAGGAGGAGTCTTTAATGGATTGGGCTAGACTCCTCCCTACTCAGAACAGCTTTCTGTTTATCAGTCTTATTTATTTATACTTCTGGGTAAGAATGTAATTAAAGAAAGGATTTTTCATCTAAAAATGTTTGAAAGGCATTGCTATAAGTGATGAAGAGTCACTAACAGATTTGAAGCAGGTGACTGACATAATGTGTATTTCAGATAATTCAAGCAGTAGAGGATAGACTGAAGAAGAGCAAAACTATAGACCAAAAGACCAGGTAAGATGCCACTTCAGTAGTCTAAGCAAGTGATTCTGGGTATTGGAATAATGGCAGTGCAGCAGGGCTGAACAGGAGGAAGCAGCCACAAAAGAGACTAGAAGACAGAATCGACAGTACGTGGTGAGTGACTAGATGTATGCAGGGGATGGTGGGATGGTGGGGACAGATGAGACAAAGAGAGACTGACTCCTAGATTTCTCGCTGGGCCACTGCACGAATCCTTGTGTCATCATAAGAAGAAGGAAAAGAAGGACTAGTATTTGGCTAATAGTAATAGAGACCTGACTGCAATGGCTTCAACAAAAGAGCTTGTTCTCTCATGTAAAAGACATCAGGAGGAAGGCAGTTCTGAGCACTGGTTGACACCCAAGGATAGCAGGGCAAAGGCTCTGCAATTCTTGTGGCCTCTCCTTCCCAGTCCCAGACTGGCTGCTAGTACTCCAATTATCATGTCCATTTCCTAAGAAGCAGGATGGAATAAGGATAAAAGGGTAAAAAAGGCTTGAGGTCACCCATCAACTGACATCTACTTCCATCTCTTTTGCTTGGCCAAAGCTAAGTCATATTCAGAATCTTAGTTGTTGTGGGGAAGGGACTGGAATATGCACCCTAACTTTACAGACACTCATGTATAGGAGGGTGTAGCAGAAGAGTGTCAGAGTGGTGCTGAGTGAATCAATCTGTGGTATTGTCCACAGTAGAGAAATGATGAGTTTGGCCTTCATCATGTTGGATCTGAAAGGTAGGACATCAGGTAAAGAGGTAGAGTAGGCAACTGGCTACACAGTTCTGGGATACAGGAAGGCACAGTAGGCAGATTTAGATTTTATCATCAGCATAAGTGTAACTAATGCCATGTAAGGTGACAAGAATGCCCAAGGAAGGCATAAAGAGAGCAGGGACAAAAGCAAGATCAGAGCCGTGTGGAATACCAATACTTGAGAGGCAGGCAGAAGAAAAAGAATCCAAAGGATTGAGAAGGCCAAAGAAGGAGAAGGAGGCTCACAAGAGCAGTTTCACATGGTGAAACCCTGTCTCTACTAAAAATACAAAAAGTAGCCAGGCATGGTGGTGCACAACCGTAATCCTAGCTACATGGATGGCTGAGGCAGGAGGATTACTTGAACCCAGGAGGCAGAGGTTGCAGTGAGCTGAGATCGCGTCACTGCACTCCAGCTTGGGCGACAGAGCAAGACTCCATCTCAAAAAAAAAAGAAAGAAAGAAGGAAAGAAAACACGTAGCTAGATGTCAGCCTATAGCTTTTTCTGGTTCAACACTAAAGTTTCATAAGGGCAGGATTCTTTGCTGTTTACTGGTTGTACTGGATTAGATAGTGACCCTTAAAAATTCACATTCTGGCCGAGCACAGTGGCTCATACCTGTGATCCCAGCACTTTGGGAGACCGAGGTGGGAGGATCACTTGGGTCCAAGAGTTTGAGACGAGCCTGGCCAACATGGTGAAAACCCGTTATCTACTAAAAATACAAAAACTAGCCAGGCATGGTAGCATGCACCATCTCAAAAAAAAAAAAGAAAGAAAAAAGAAAAAAAATTCACATCCGTTCAGGAACCTCGGAATGTGACCTTATTTGGAAATAGTGATGTTGCAGATACAGTTAAGTTAAAATGATGTCATACAGGAGGAGGATGGGCCCTTAATCCAATATGATTGGTGCCCTTCTAAGAAAAGAACAGGCAAAGGGACAATACCATGTGACGATACAAGCACTGACTGGAGTGATGCATTTACATTACAAGCCAAGGAATGCCAAGGATTGTTGGTAAACGCCAAAAACCAGGAATGAGGCAAGGAAGAATTCTCCCCTACAATCTTGAGAGACAGCATGGACTTACCAACACCTTGGTTTCAGACTTCTAGCCTCTACAACTATTAAACAATTTCTATTGTTTTAGGCCACCCAGTTTGTAGTACTTTATTTTTTTTATTTTTTGAGACAGAGTCTTACTCTGTCACCCAGGCTGGAGTACAGTGGCACAATCTCAGCTCACTGCAACCTCTGCCTCCCCATTCAAGCAATTCTCCTATCCCAGCATCCCGAGTAACTGGGATTACAGGCACACGCACCACCATGCCCAACTAAATTTTGTATTTCTAGTAGAGATGGGAGTTCACTACGAACTCCCGGTCTCAGGTGATCCACCCACCTCAGCCTCCCAAAGTGCTGGGATTACAGGCGTGAGCCACCACACCCAGGCTGTAGTACTTTATTATGGCAGTTCTAGAAAACTAATACACTGGAATATTCCAGACTTCTAGGATAGTATCTGGAACACAGTAGGAACTCAGTAAATGAAATATTTGTTGCATGAATGGATGGATATTTTAATTCCTAGGATTGACCCTTCCATGACTTCTAGCACCTGCTGGTAACCATTCCCTAGTCACACCCGCACACACTTCTTGATACTCTCTCCTCTGTTTTCCACATCACCAGGTTCTTCTGGTTCTGTTCCAATTCTTTTGTCTGCCTTTTAAATATTCAGTCTTCTCTGATTGCTCCACACTCTGTAATTTTATCCCTTCCCAGGTTTCAATTTCCCATACATACCAAGGACTCCCAAATCTAAAACAGAGCTAACCACATCACACCGCTGCTTAAAAAACAGAGATGGGCCGGGTGCAGTGGCTCACGCCTCTAATCCCAGCACTCTGGGAGGCAGAGGCAGGTGCATCGTCTGAGGTCAGAATTTCGAGACCAGCCTGGCCAACATAGTGAAACCCCATCTCTACTAAAAATACAAAAAATTAGCCAGGCGTGGTGGCAGGTGCCTGTAATCCCAGCTACTCGGGAGGCTGAGGCAGGAGAATCACTTGAACCTGGGAGGTGGAGGTTGCAGTGAGCCAAGATCACACCATTGCACTCCAGCCTGGGCAACAAGAGCAAAACTCTGTCCAAAAAAAAAAAAAAAACAAAAACGGAGATGGCTCTTCATTGCTTACAGATTAAGGCCAAACTTGACCACTTCAGTACTTTACTCTGTCCTCACCCTAGTATGCATCAACCCCTTCCTGTAAAGTAACCTGTGCTCCAGTCACAAAGGACAATTCAGGTTTCTAAAGCACACCATGTTTGATGTTTTTAATGCTTCCATATTCCTTCCACCCGGAATGCTCTTCATTCCCTTCATCTACTTGGTGAAATCCTAGTTCAGGCTAAACACAAATGCCATCATCTTTTGAAGACTTTCCTGGCCACCATTCAGGACAAATGACCCACTCCCACCTGTTTTTCCTTGTGTTCAGAAGACCATCACAACAGGAGTCATTCCCTCAAAGTCACGAGCTCTTTAATGGTAAAAATCATACCTTATTCATCTTCACAGATCCAGTACCTAGCTCAGTGCCTGGCACATGGTATGCTCCACAAGATTACAGGTTGAATGAACTCATTCAAACCTGTACATTGTAAACACACTACAGCTATCAAATGGCAATGGAGGGGCCGGGCACAGTGGCTTACGCCTGTAAACCCAGCACTTTGGGAGGCCAAGGAGGGAGGATCACTTGAGGACAAGAGTTCGAGACCAGCCTGGCCAACATGGTGACACCTCGTCTCTACTAAAAATACAAAAATTAGCGGGGCGTGGTGGTGCACGCCTGTCATTCCAGCTATCAGGGAGGCTGAGGTAACAGAGTTGCTTGAATCTGGGAGGTGGAGGTTGCGGTAAACCGAGGTCACACCACTGCACTCCAGCCTGAGCAACAGAGTGAGCGAGACTCTATCTCAAAAAAAAAAAAAAAAAAAAAAAAGCAATGGAATCACATCTGAGCACCATTTCAACAAAGCACAATAAAGATATTACTACATTAACAGAAGTTAGAAAACCACCACAAATGTCAAAGTATTGGGCCCAACTGACCTGTTCAACAATAGATGTGATATTTATATTATTCAGAAACAGACTCCAACACAATAGGGAAATCCTAAACAGGGAGCATCAACCTCTTACCTCCGCAGATACATAGTCTCCTCGTCTTCTGTGTTACAAAACTTATGGGCATGTTTGGCAGCATCAATCACACGGGACCGGTCCCGGGGCCTCATGGGCAATTTCTCTAACTGGCAGTCTGAAGGAATGGAGAGATTTGGTCACTAGAGTCACGGCAAAATATAGCAAATGAGTCACTGCAAAATATCCTGAGAAGTTTTGAGTGAGGTCTCTAGCACTAGAATTTTCTACTGCAATTACTATGCTTATTGAAACCCATTACTGAATGTTCCGACTAAAACTGACTTTCTGTCAGGAGATCTTGGTATTTGGTCCCAGCTCTGCTACTACCCTGGTGATCTTTGGCAAATCACTTCCTCCTTCAGAGACTTTTGCCTCATTTGAAAGATGAGTAGATGGTATTATCTCAAAAGTCCTTCCCAGTACTGCAATTCAGGTTTCTATGAGGATTTCTGTGATCATAGTACACTTGGTTTGTGTTATAATGCATTAGAATCAGAAGACACAATCCAGCATACTGGAATGCCTACGAGGAAGCACTGGGAAAAGTGGGTGTGTGCTAAGAAAAGGAGAGAGGCTGGGCGTGGTGGCATGCACCTATAGTCCCAGCTACTGAGAAGAATGAGGCAGGGCAATGGCTTGAGACCAGGGGTGCAATGCTGTCATGTCCCATGATTCTGCCTGTGAATAGCCACTGTACTCCTGCCTGGGCAACACAGCGAGACCCTGTCTCTGTATAAAAAAAAAAAAAAAAAAGAGGCCAGGCAAGGTGGCTCACACCTGTAATCCCAGCACTTTGGGAGGCCAAGACGGGCAGATCACCTGAGGTCAGTAGTTCAAGACCAGCCTGGCACAGCTACTTGGGAGGCTGAGGCAAGAGAATCGCTTGAACCCAGGAGGCAGAGGTTGCTGTGAGCCAATATCACGCCATTGCACTCCAGCCTGGGCAACAGAGCGAGACTCTGTCCAAAAAAAAAAAGCGGGGGGGAGAGAGAGGGTAAGTGATTATATAGTATACAAATGATCCGGCCGGGCGCGGTGGCTCAAGCCTGTAATCCCAGCACTTTGGGAGGCCGAGACGGGCGGATCACGAGGTCAGGAGATCGAGACCATCCTGGCTAACACAGTGAAACCCCGTCTCTACTAAAAAATACAAAAAAAAATAGCCGGGCGAGGTGGCGGGCGCCTGTAGTCCCAGCTACTCGGGAGGCTGAGGCAGGAGAATGGTGAAAACCCAGGAGGCGGAGCTTGCAGTGAGCTGAGATCCGGCCACTGCATTCCAGCCTGGGTGACAGAGCAAGACTCCGTCTCAAAAAAAAAAAAAAAAAACAAAAAACAAATGATCCATCCTAGTTGGAGGAATTTTAATCTGATAACAATGAAAACACAGTAAACAAATTAGGTACAGTTGTAAAGCAGATTGAAAATTGATATAATGGGTCAGGCGCGGTGGCTCACGCCTGTAATCCAGCACTTTGGGAGGCCGAGGTGGCAGTGGATCACCTGAGGTCAGGAGTTCGAGACCAGCCTGACCAATATATAGTGAAACCCTGTCTCTACTAAAACATACAAAAATTAGTGGGGCATGGTGGCACACACCTCTAGTCCCAGCTACTTGGGAAGCTGAGGCAGAAGAATCACTTGAACCCGGGAGGCAGAGGGTTGCAGTGAGCTGGGATCACACCACTGCACTCCTGCCTGGGCAACAGAGCAAGACTCCGTCGCTCAAAAAAAAAAAAGAAAAAAAAGAAAATTTATGTAATGCAAATTAAATACCTAAAGGATAACAGAGAAAGTCAAGTGGTCAGAGTAATTCAAGATGAATAGAGGAGATGAAGAGAGGAGTTAGAGAACGTTACGCAGTTTACATGTCAGCTCATTTACTCTTCACAATGAATGGTTAAAGTAGAGATTTGTTGTTCCTGTTTTAAAGATGAAGGAACTGAAGTTATAAAGGGTAAGAGATACACCATGCATCTAATAAGAAGTAGAACAAGAATTCAGATCCAACTCTAAGTGATTCAAAAGCCCATGCTGTTTCCACCACACCTCCTTACCAAGAATTAATTTCTTCGATAAATATGTGAGGGCCCTCTAGGTAGCAGGCACTGTTCTAACACTGTGCTAAAGATTCAGCAAACAACAAAGCAGATAAAGTCTCCCCCCTGGCCAGGCACGGTGGCTCACGCCTGTAATCCCAGCATTTTGGGAAGCCAAGGCAGGTGGATCACCTGAGGTCAGGAGTTCGAGACCAGCCTGGCCAACATGGTGGAACCCCATTTCTACTAAAATTACAAAAATTAGCCAGGCGCGGTGGCTCACACCTGTAATCCCAGCACTTTGGGAGGCCGAGGCCGGCAGACCACCTGAGGTCAGGAGTTCAAGACTGGCCTGACCAACATGGAGAAACCCCGTCTCCACTAAAAAAATACAAAATTAGCTGGGCATGGTGGTGTATGCCTGTAATCCCAGCTACTTGGGAGGCTGAGGCAGGAGAATCGCTTGAATCCGGAAGATGGAGGTTACAGTGAGCTGAGATCACGCCACTGTACTCCAGCCTGGGCTACAAGAGCTAGACACTGTTTCAACAACAACAAAAAAAGTCTCGGCCCTGATGCAGCTTCCATTCTAGTGTAAGAGGCAACATATTTTAAAATAATTATAATATGATCTTGGGCAACGGTTAAGTGCTAAATATTAAGCACGGTAAGAGGACAAAGTGACAGGGATGCTGTTTTAGATAAGGTAATCAGGGAAGGGTTCTCTAAGGAAATGACATTTCAGTAGAGACCTGAATGAAGTAAGGAGGGACTGAGGGAAAAGTTTTTGGGGAAGAAGAAATACCAATTCCAAAGGCACTGGGGGGCCGGAACACTTTTGACATGATGGAGAAAAAGCAAAAAGGCCACTGTGGCTGAAGTGCAATGAGCAAGGGGAAGACTGTTAGGGCATGAAGCCTGAGAGGTAGCCACAGGCCTGATCAAGGGTCTTGGTATGGATGGACTTTGGTTTTATTCTCAGTCTTATATGAAACCACTGGTTTTGAACAGGACTCTGGCTACTATGTAGAAAACAGTGGAAGCAACGAGAGCAAGAGACTATGGTGCCAATCCAGGTGAAAGATGGTAGTAGCTTGGACTACAGTGTTAGAAGTGGAGGTGGTAGGCTGGCCGCGGTGGCTCACACCTGTAATCCCAACACTTTGGGAGGCCTAGGTGGGTGGATCACTTGAGGTCAGGAGTTCAAGACCAGCCTGGCCAACATGGTGAAACCCCGTCTCTACTAAAAATACAAAATTAGCCGGGCGTGGTGGCACATGCCTGTAATACCAGCTAGTAGGGAGGCTAAGGCAGGAGAATCACTTGAACCTGGGAGGCGGAAGTTGCAGTGAGCTAAGATCACGCCATTGCACTCCACCCTGGGCAAGAAGAGCAAAACTCCGTCTCAAAAAAGAAAAAAAAATTAGCCGGGCCTGGTAGCCTGTACTACTTGAGAGGCTGAGGCAGGAGAATCGCTTGAACCCGGGAGGCGGAGGTTGCAGTGAGCTGAGACCGCACCACAGCACTCCAGCCTGGGTGACGGAGTGAGACTCTGTCTCAGACCAAAAAAAAAAAGAATGGAGGTGAAAAGAAGCAGTCAGATTCTGCATAATTTTCATGAAAGCACCTGCAGGATTTCCTTATGGACTGGACAGATGTAAGGTATGTGACAGAGAGAAGTCTTGACTGATTCCAGGTTTTGGTCTGAGATACTGGATGAATAGTGATACTACTGACTGCAATAGGGATGACTGTAAGAGAAACAATTGGAGAGCGGGTGTAGAGGGTCATGAATTCAATTTTCAGCACGATATATTTGAGAGGCCCATTAGACATTCAAGTGGAGATGTTGAATAGGCAATTGAAGTCTGAGGAGAGGTGCAGGTTAAAGATGAACATCTGGGAGTTACCAGCACGTCGGTTGTATTTAAAGCTTAGGAATGAATGAGATCACCTAGGGGGTGGGTACAGAGTGAGAATAGGTGAGAGTACTGAGCTATATGGCCTTGGAATGCCTAAAAATCTGAGAGAGAAAAGGGAGCCAGACAAGAAGGGGAAAAATCTAAGGCCAGGCGTGGTGGCTCACGCCTGTAATCCCAGTACTTTGGGAGGCCAAGGCGGGTGGGTCACCTGAGGTCAGGAGTTCGAGACCAGTCTGGCCAACGTAGTGAAACCCTGTCTCTACTAAAAATACAAAAATTAGCCAGGCGTGGTGGCGGGCGCCTGTAATCCCAGCTACTCGGGAGGCTGAGGCAGGAGAATCACTTGAATCCGGGAGGCAGAGGTTTCAGTGAGCCGAGACTGCGCCACTGCACTCCAGCCTGGGCGGCAGAGTGAGACTCCATCTCAAAAAAAAAAGGAAGAAAAAAAAAAAGAAGAAGAAGGGGAAAAATCTGAGGTAGGAGGAAAATCAGGTGAGTATGGAGTCTTGGAAGCAAATAAAAAACGTGTTGCAAAAAGAATGAAATGATTACCTCTGTCAAATCCCACTGAGAGAAGAATTAAAATGAACATTGGTAACTGACCACTAGAACTGTTAACACGGAGTTCAGTTAGTAATTCTGCCAAATACGGTTAAGATGATGAGGTGGGAAGGAAAGCCTACCTGAAGTGAGGTCAGGAGAGAATGAGAAGTCAGGATGTAGAGACAGCCAATATAGGCAACTCTTTTGAGAAGCTTTGCTATAAAAGAAGCAACGAAATGGGGTTATAGCTGGAGGGGAATACAGGATCAAGGGAGGGTTTTATTTTTGTTTGCTGTAATGTAAGAGCAACTGCAGCATCTTGGTATCCAGCAGAAACGTTATAAAGTTTCTAGAGGGAGTAGTTTTTGAAGACAGTGGATTAAGAGGGAAATACAATATGTTTGTGTTTCTATTTTTGTTTCCCTTAAGGAGTTTAGTTTTGAGGAAGGTCTGGATACAGAGTCACAAGGCTAAACAAAAAACAGGAAAAAAATATGCCCTGGAGTGGGGCGGGGATGTGTAGGGAGGATTTCGTCGGAAAGAGAAAACCCACCAATCTTCGTTGAGAAGTGGTTCCCAGATCACAGTCAGAGGAAATTCGCCTTCAAGAACCCGAAGTCTGGTTCCTGGCAGACGCCCCCGCAGTTCCCAGCTACTCACCCAGCACTAGGACCATCTGGCCGCACAAACAGTAGTAAACATGGAGGGGCTTCTCGCCGTCGTCATATTCCTCCCGGTCCCGAGTGTCAGAGCAGACTACTGACCGAGACACTACTTTCGGCATGGTTCCCAGGAGCAATCTGAAGACTCTACGCCAAGAAGAGGGTCGCGCTGAAATGACGTCACAAGCGCGCCTTGAACCTTTTCCCTGTGGCTGCGCTGGTCACGTGTTAGTAGAAGTCTTATAAACTTCCGGGCCGTCCTATCAGGATAAGATATACAGGGGTGCGCCTGGAGCTTCCCAGAACCTACTTTGTCTTGGCCAAGTTAGCTGGGACTCCTGTGATCTGGGAGTCGCTTCTCAGTGAAGATTGGTGGGCACCCTTAATATTATATAAATTATTCACATTTCTATAACGCATGAATTTATATGTATATATACACATATGTATGTATAAGACCAGCTAAATAAAGAACTATGCATTATATAGTCTATATTATATATATGATACTGACTTAGGTGTGTTTCTAAATATGATTTTGATTTTAATGACTATTCCGGATGAGTACCTAATTTTTTAGGTATCTTATTTTTTTAGTTGATATCATTCACATAACATAAAATTCACCTTTTAAAATGTGTTATTGAGTGGTTTTTAGTGTATTCACAAAGTTGTGTAACCATCACCACTAATTCCAGAACATTTCCATCATCTCAAAAAGAAATCTTATACCCATGAGTAGTCACCACCACCCCCACCCCCCAACTTCCCAGCCTGCGGCAACCACTAATCTACTTTTTATCTCTGTGGATTTGCCTATTCTGGACATTTCATATAAATGGAATCCTACAATATGTGGCAATTTGTCTGGCTTCTTTCATTTACCATAATGTTTTCAAGGTTCATCCATGTTACAGTACTGCTTTCCTTTTTATGGCTGAATAATATTTCATCATATGGATATGATGGATACATTTTGGATACATATGGATACATTTTGTTAATCCATTCATCAATTGGCAGACAACGGGGATGTTTTCACTTTTTGGTTATTATATAGATAATGCTGCTATGAACATTCATGTACAAGAATACTTCCGCCGCAAATTTGTGTGGGAATATAACTCTGGATTTTTAACTTTTGACAGCACGAGAAGTGATTAAAGCACCTTGACATTGTGATTCAAACAATGTTAAATGTCATTGAGTGACTTTACTGCGGTACAAGTTTCAGGTATAAACACTGTTCTGCCTTATAATTTTAGGTTAAATTCATTAAGGAACATTACTAAGTCTATGGCAAAAGCCATTTTTAAAAACTATTCATGTTCAATAATAGTGATCAAGGGTGGGGTTCTTCTCATTTAGAAAATTTTCTAAAATTTTAGCCTCCCAAGTAGCTAGGATTACAGGCACACAGCACCACACCCAGCTATTTATAAATGGGGTTTTGCCATGTTGGCCAGGCTGGTCTTGAACTCCTGGCCTCAACTAATCTGACTGCCTCGACCTCCCAAAGTGCTGAGATTACAGGTGTAAGCCACTGCACCCGGCCTAGAAAATTTTCAATCTCAGCCCTGTGCTCAAGAAAGTCTCAAAACCTCACCGCTTTTGAATTGCTATTCATAGGGCAAGTCAGAAATATTTAACTTATGTTTCCGGAAAAAAAAAAAAAAAATGGAACTGACAATGGTTTAATCCATGAGAGTGAATGAACTTTGCGGTTTTGTTTTTTCTTTCTTTTTTTTTTTTTTTTTTTTTTTTTTTTAGATGGAGTCTCGCTCTGTCACCCAGGCTAGAGTGCAGTAGCACCATCTCAGCTTACTGCAACCTCCACCTCCTGGGTTCAAGCAATTCTCTGCCTCAGCCTCCTGAGTAGCAGGGATTATAGGCGCCCGCCACCATGCCCAGCTATTTTTTTTTGTATTTTTAGTAGAGATGGGGATTCATCATGTTGGCCAGACTGGTCTTGAACTGCTGACCTCATGATCCATCCGCCTTGGCCTCCCAAAGTGCTGGAATTACAGGTGTGAGCCACCGCACCCGGCTGAACTTCACTGTTGACACTGCTATCAACAATAACACAAGATAGATTCAAGTTTTTTGTTTTATTTATTTATTTTTTTTGCAAAGTACCCGCTGTTACTTTTTTTGCAAAGTACCCAATTAATAACTATAGGTTTTTAAACAACTTACATTTTGACAAGTATTGTACATTTGTCTAAGCCTTTTCTGCTCCATACATATCTGTAATACATCTTAGCAGATTCTGCTTTAGACTGAATTGAATTAGTATTTTCTTGATTTCTTTGAAAATACTCCCATCTGCAGTTGTTCTACACAGCCCATACACACAGGCCATTTTTTTTTTTTTTTTTTTTTTTTTTTTAAGACAGAGTCTTGCTCTGTCACCCAGTCCGGAGTGCAGTGGTACAATGCTGGCTCACTGCAACCTCTGCCTCCCAGGTTCAATCGACTCTCCTGCCTCAGCCTCTTGAGTAGCTGGGATTACAGGCGTGTGACACCATGCCTGGCTAATTTTGTGTGTGTGTATGTGTGTGTGTGTGTATTTTTTTATTTTTAGTAGAGGCAGGGTTTCACCATGTTGGCCAGGCTGATCTCAAACTCCTGACCTCAAGTGATCTGCCCACATCGGCCTCCCAAAGTGCTGAGATTACAGGCGTGAGCCACCGTGCCCGGTCCAATTCTTCAGTCACTTTAAACTCAACATTGACTCCTTGAGTAAAAAACAACAACTAAGCAATACTGGCAAACATTCAATTCATTAGGAACCAAGGAAAATCACTTGAAATCATTTGCTTTGTTTTTGTTTTTGTTTTTGAGACAGGGTCTTGCTCTGTCACCCAGGCTAGAGTGCAGTGGCATGATCACAGCTCACTGCAGCCTCAAACTCCTGGGCTCAAGTGATCCTCCCACCTTAGACTCCCTAGTAGCTGGGACCACAGGTGCACACCACCACACCAGCTATATTTATTTATTTATTTATTTATTTATTTATTTATAGAAGCAAGGTATTTCTATGTTGCCCAGGCTGTTCTTGAACTCTTGCGCTCAAGCAATCCTTCTGCTGCAGGCTTTCAAAGTGCTGAGATTATAGGTGTGCCCCACCGTGCCTTGCCCTTTTTTTGGTTGTTTGTTTTTGTTTCTGTTTTGTTTTGATGTTGCTTTCTTTTTTTTTTTTTTTTTTTTTTTTTTTTTTGGGGCCTCTATCTCTTTTTTGGTTGTTTGTTTTGTTTGTTTGTTTTGATGTTGTTTCTTTTTTTTTTTTTTTTTTTGAGACGGAGTCTCGCTCTGTCGCCCAGGCTGGAGTGCAGTGGCACGATCTCGGCTCACTGCAAGCTCCGCCACCTCCCGGGTTCACGCCATTCTCCTGCCTCAGCCTCCCTAGAAGCTGGGACTACAGGCGCCCACCACCACGCCCGGCTAATTTTTTTGTATTTTTAGTAGAGATGGGGTTTCACCATGTTCGCCAGGATGGTCTTGATCTCCTGACCTCGTGATCCGCCCACCTCGGCCTCCTAAAGTACTGGGATTACAGGCGTGAGCCACCGCGCCCGGCCTGATGTTGCTTTCAATGTCCTCAACTCTTGGAGCCACTGTTCTTGCTGAAAGGTGAATAGTCTTCAACAGGTTTTATTTTTCTTGAGCATATTTCTTTGACTTCTGCAACTGAACACAGTTTAGCTCAATATCAGTAAATGACTTTCCTTGCTTGGCTAACAAAGGAGCCACTCAGAAACTTACTTTGGCTACAGGCTTATCTTTATTTTTTACCTTTTTTTTTTTTTTTTTTTAGATGGAGTCTCCCTCTGTTGTCCAGGCTGGAGTGCAGTGGTGTGATCTCAGCTCACTGCAACCTCCACCTCCCAGGTTCAAGCAATTCTCCTGCCTCAGCCTCCTGAGTAGCTGGGATTATAGACGTGTGCCACCACACCCAGCTAATTTTTGTAATTTTAGTAGAGATGGGGTTTTACCATGTTGGCCAAGCTGACCTCGAACTCCTGACCTCGTGATCTGCACACCTCAGCCTCCCAAAGTGCTGGGATTACAGGCATGAGCCAATGCGCCTGGCCTATTTTTTAGTTTTATAATGAATTTTGCTATAATAAGATATTCTACTTAAAAATTTAAATTGTACTGGCCATTGCTCTCCTCTGAGTTGGGAATATTGTGATGAATGCTTAGTCTGGTAACGTTGATGTACATTATAACATTGTAGCAATGTGACGGTGTCATTGTGTAATAAACACAATGCTCCCACATCTAATTTGGCAATTAAGTAACCCACACTCCATTGTACCTTAAAAGCAAGACCTTCAAAGTCCACTTTCTTTACTTTTGACACAATAGGTATGCACTTGTAACTTTTTTAAATGCCATGGTAGATACATGTGGTATTCAATACACTGTGGAGTTATGCTGCATTCCTACAATTTGTAGTACTTGGAGCAGCAGTATGAGGTGATGAGAGCACCACACACAGCCTCTGTCACTCACCTCTGCCATTGTAGCACAGATGCAGCCACAGCCAATACAGTAGGCCCTCCACATCTGTGGATGCAGGACTCACAGATACGGAGGGCCAAATGGGGGACTTTAGCATCTGTGGATTTTGGTATCTGAGACGGACCCTGGAACCAATCCCCTGTGGATACCAAGGGATGACTGTGCATAAATGAAAGAAAATGGCTCAGCCGGGCGCAGTGGCTCAAGCCTGTAATCTCAGCACTTTGGGAGGCCGAGACGGGCGGATCACGAGGTCAGGAGATCAAGACCATCCTGGCTAACACGGTGAAACCCCGTCTCTACTAAAAAATACAAAAAACTAGCCGGGCGAGGTGGCAGGCGTCTGTAGTCCCAGCTACTCGGGAGGCTGAGGCAGGAGAATGGCGTGAAACCCGGGAGGCGGAGCTTGCAGTGAGCTGAGATCCTGCCACTGCACTCCAGCCTGGGCGACACAGCGAGACTCTGTCTCAAAAAAAAAAAAAAAAGAAAGAAAGAAAATGGCTGTGTCCCAGTGAAACTTTATTTATGGGCATTGAAATTTGAATTTCATGTAATTTTCTTTTATTTATTTATTTAGAGATGGAGTCTCGCTGTCTCCCAGTCTGGAGTGCAGCGGCCCGATCTCTGCTCACTGCAAGCTCTGCCTCCCGAGTTCATGCCATTCTCCTGCCTCAGCCTCCC